CTTTCCCCTCCAGGTTCCTCACACATTTCTCTTCCGTTGCCATTTTTCTCCTTTCCCATTTATAAGGTGATTTCCTCATGAGCACTGGGCCACTGCCATCTGTGGAAGAAGCATGATCATTGCTTCCAACACCTAATTTATTGCAAAGGACATTTTTTACCTCTTCAGTCACCAGCATTTGTCTCTTCAGGAGCATGGAATTTTTAGGTCATTGAGGACTTTTCCTGTAATTGTAGGTAGGTTTCCACATAATACCTTCAATAAATATTTTACTCTAAATTTTTTATGTCCTTCTACATTCAGGTGGAAGGCTGCTCCTGTCCTCGCCAGTTTTAATGCTTAGAAATTGACTTTTTCCACTAAATTTCTCAATGAATTATAAAAATATATATATATATGTATGTGTATATATATGTATGTGTACATATATATATATATATATAGGTTTAAACATCAATTAAAGAGTCTCTTTTAGGAGACATTTTCTGGTACATTGTTGGGAGAGCGTGGAAAATCACCTCTATCATCTGACCAGAGTTGCACAGCCACATTTACATAAGAGGTGAATCCATTTTTGCTTTGAATTTACAGAAATTCTGTAATTTTTGTGTTTCAGAAGCAGTAGTGCTGGACTCCCTGACTCCTCAGTGTGTTAGTCCTGTGTAAAAATCACAAGGGCTACAGTTCCATTATTGCCAAAATAAGCCTCTTTTGACCCTTCAGCCATCACTTTGTGGGAAACTTGTCACATGTGCCTGCACAAAGAATGCTGTATATAACTAAATAAAAAGAACATGCTTAATATAAAATAACAGTTCTTTTGTTATCTTTAGTGTAGTTTTCTTGAATTTGTTTACATTGGGAAAAGAGTTTTTAAAGAAGATAGTTGAATGGTTTTGGATGCCCTAAAAATCCCCGCTGGTTTAAAGCTAGTGAATGAAATAAACAGTCTTGTGATTCATTCAACAAAATAAACAAAAGCCATAATTTGACTTTAGTATGGTGTCCAGGGTTTCCTCTTTTACTTTCAACACTTCATGGAGCAGTGGGAGAAGAGAAGAAAGGAGTGTTGATGATGCAAAACACCAAGTGAAAAATTTAATTTGATTTCAAATGGTCATTTCTGTGGAGAAAAACCCCAAGAATCTGAAGATACTGATTTTCAAGAGTAATTTCTGGTTATATGAGTTGAGTCTTGGGCTCTCCATCAGTGCCCGAATGAATATTTAACATGGCCCTTTTCCATGCCAGTTTGCTACCTCAGCTTTTCCTAAAATTTGCCATTCTTCCAGCGTTGTTACTGATGCTGGTATCAGGGTATGTGTCAGTCCTGGGGGGCAGTCTGGCATTTCACAAACCCCAGGGCAGAGGGGTGAGCCCATGCCCAGCCCATGAACCCTCAGATGTCACCGGTGGGTCGGGAGGGAGTGTCACGTCCTTGCTTCTATCTCCAGTCCCCTTTGGCTCATGGTTAAACTGAGATATAATTATGCTGGGGGTGTGGCTATCAAATGTGATATTATAATTTACAGGACCTAGTGCTTCATGGGCTCTTTCTCAGCATTCACTAATTAATCTTCCTTGCCCTGACTGTGTGGGTTTATCTCTGCCTCGCAGTCGGTGAGGCAGAAGCTCGCAGGTCAAATGTCTTGCTTGGAGGTTAAAAGTCTTGCTCACAGCCCAGAGTGGACATAGGAGCTGTCAAGAAAGTTCTTAATCAAAGAGTCCATCTCCTGTTTTTCACAGTTTAACTATGGCCTTTACATTTAGAGGAATCCCGTTTTTGGCAGCTTGGCCTAGAGAGATGGGAGCAGTCCAGGGGTGGGGAACATCCTCTCTTGTCCCTGCTCTGATGGACATTTTCTGCTTGGGCTTGCTCAAACATCTTGCCATGATTTTATTTTATGGGAATAAAGTGGATATTGTGACAATTCAATGTCATGTGAAAGTTTCCAACCTTTGCTTTCTATTTAGTGTGAGGTCAAGTTGTGCCTCAAGTTGTGCCAGGCAAGATTTAGGTTGGGTATTAGGGAAAATTTCTTCATGGAAGGGGTTGTCAAACACTGGAATGGGCTGCCCTGGGAAGTGATGAAGTCACCAACCCAGGAGGTGTTTAAAAGGCATGTGGAAGTGGCACTTGAGGTCATGGTTTAATGTTGAAGGTCCTTTCTGACCCTAATGCTTCTGTAATTTCATGTTAACCTGTGAGTGAGATTTGTCAAGAACAAGAGTGAGGCAAGTTTTGTGGAAGATTTGTTCTAACAGAGCAATAGATGGAGAAAAACAGGGGAGATACAGGCCCATGGTACTCAGCAAGACATTGGGATACTGAAAGTGATAACTTCCTTTTGGTTTAGCCCAGAGGCCAAATTTGGTAATGAAACTGCTGCTGTTGGTGCATTATAAATATAAAAAATGTTCTTTCTTAAGAAACTGTCAGATTGTTAAGTTACTTCATAACCTTTGTTCAAAATCGTGTTTAAGGCCCTTGTCATATGAATTAACAGCTGAAGAGCTCTTACACCCCTCTCCACAGATAAGGCTTAGACTTGTTCTGTAGTAGTTGCTCTTATCTTCTCTCAGCACATGTGCTTCTTGTGAACCAGAATAGAAATTGTAAGAAATTCCTGGTGTTATTTGCTTCTTGCCTGGACTACCACCTAAAAGGTAGCACAATTCAGCACAAACTAAAAAGCACATCCTAGTATCAAAAATGAAACCACTGTCAAGACATCAGTATGAAAAATAACTTTGTGAAAATGCAAGCAAGTAACGGAGAGAAATGTTTGTCGTGCTGGATCTCAGCAAATGTCATATTGCTTTTACCCCATCTGTGTGTGATAAACCCATATTCAGCAGCATCTCAGCATTTCCAGGGACATGAACAACAAAGTGAAGTATCCCAAGCACACTGATGTCAGCTCTGAGAAACAGGAACACCCAGGCAGCATCTCATCTCACCTCCTATTTGTTCTATTCCACATCAGTAGGGAAGCAGAGTGTTTGGAAATCTCCTGCAAAAGCACAAAGGCTGTGCCTGGATTGGCTGCAGTAACCCAGCAGGGTGCCTGGTGCTCCAGGGTGGCACCTCAAGCTGTGGGAGATCCCTTCCAGCTCCTGCTGCTCAAACATCATAGCTGGATATCCAGAGAATGAAACTTGGATCCCTGAGGAGGGAGCTCTATCAGAAATCTCTGATAATAAACTAATTCCTCGTAAAATATTCATTGGCCCAGATAAAGGGGGAGGAAAGAGGAAAGGCTTGGAAAATAATCCAGAAAACACCTGAGAGTTTTGCCAAAATTATGCATCCTCCCATTAGACAATTGAGGTTTTACAGGTTAGTGTTTTCTAAGGAAAACACAGGATTTTAGGAAATTTTCACCAGCTTTAATTTGAATTACACTGTCTACAAATCAGAACCAAAGTTTGGGTTGGAAGACAGCTAAAAGATCATTTTGTTCCCTTCCCCACCATGAGCAGGGACACCTTCCACTATCCCAGGTTGCTCCCAGCCCTGTCCAAGCTGGCCTTGGACACTTCCAGGGATCCAGGGGCAGCCACAGCTTCTCTGGTCACCCTGTGCCAGGGGCTCACCAGTCCCAAAGCAATAAATTTCTTCCTAATATCCAATCTAGCCCTGCCCTCTCTCCATTTGAAGCCATTTGCCCTTGTCCTATTGCTCCATGCCATTGTAAAAAGTCTCTCTCCAGCTTCTTTGCAGCCTTGCACAGTGGCAGTGGTCATGAAGGTGAAACTGAGCTTCAGGAAGGTAGAAAATCAAGGCTACCAGAATTCGTGATTTATATCCTGGAAACCCTAAATTTCCCTAATTCAGAGCTCTCAATTGTTTTAGTATGATGGTAATTTGACCAGCAGAAACAGGATGAAACAATCGAGGGGAGGAAACCACTGCCAACTGTTTCTGTATGTTTTGATTATTTATTGAGCCAATATTAGCCAAAATCTTTGTGCAAGCAAGTGTTAAAATCAGGCTAGGCTAGGCCCAGAACTTTAATATCTAATAAAAAGAGATATCCTTTATAAAGGTAGAAAACTGCAAAAGCAATGCAGGTTTATGTCTGGGCATGGCTCACCCTCTTGTGTCTTTATCTAGAATTGCAGTCTTGTGGAGAAAATTATTTTTACTGGCCTGAAATAAGAAGGGAAAGTGGTGAGTTCTTCCCTGCTCAGGGCTGGTTTATGTGATTCAAGAGCTGTGGAAAACCCTTTCAGGAGCAGCTGGAAATTAGGTGGGACACCCTGGTGTGGTGCAAGGTTAGTGAGAAAGAGCCACGGGAATAAATTTATCATTTATCACCTGCAGGCAGATGTAGCAGAATTTTTGTGATTAGGTCAGAGGAAAAGTAGCAGATACAATGTGTGTCTCTTATTTTCCCTGTACAAAAAATTGCCTCCCTTTTTGCTTTTTACTTCTTTTCTTTTCTCATCCACACTTACATGAAGTATAAAAAGAGCCTCAAAATATACATAAGGAATTTTCCAAATTAAAATAAAACAACAAAAAAACTAAAACAAACCCACTTGATTTATAAATAACTTTAATTAAAAGCTCTGTTTCTGAACTGGTGGTAAAGCATTTATTTAGCAGGAAGATATTCCATTGACAATCAACAAAAAGTTAACAGAAGAAAATTTAGTGGCATGTAACAAATTATTCTAAAAAACCTGAAGTGCAAAAAAGCCTGATGTGGGCTTCCCATTAAAAAGAAATAAATCAGTGGCAGATCCACTGCAAGGAAAGACACAAACTAACATATTTGTCGCTTAAACATGATTTCTGCAAAACCTAAAATAACATCAGAGGTTATTTTGAGCTACTAGTCTAATTTAAGACTGACGTAATGGTCAGATTTCAGATAAAATTATTACTTATAGGTCAATCTGAGCAGGGGCACTGAGAGTGAATACACTTTACAGTGGGTTCTACCTACTTTTCTTATAATCTCACAGCAGTTGTGATGACTCCCAGCAGGACTTTAGATGATTTGAGTGGTGCATTTACAGCTTGCAGGGCACTTCTTCTTCACCATTGAGTTGCTACAGCCAAACAACATTTTCAGATTTTTGCAGTTTCCAATGAGGTCTTGATACTTGCAGGGGTTGGCTAAAATAAAAGAGAGAGAAGCAAACACATGAAATATTTGGAAACTGAGCTCTGGTTTGATACTTCTGCATTTTCCAGAAATTCCGGCTTTTCACGTCTATATAAACTTTGTAAATTTGCTATGCTATTGAAATGGCTTGAATATTATAGAATGTGAATTTTTTAAAGGAGAATGGAGTGACTCACTGCAAAGTCCTTTGTCACAGTGGCCAGGACAGTCAGCACATCTTGGTCCACTTCTGTAAGGCATAGCTATTTGCATCGGGTTATTTCCTCTGAAATTTGAAAGAATTACAAGACAAAAAAAGATCAAATGAAGCTCTGAGCCATTAACAGGAGTTTGTTATTTATTGCAGTGAAAGGAATCCAGAAGTTTTTGGATAAAAGTATTTTTCTAGGCAGTCATGTTTTCGTTTCAGATATTAAAACCAAAAGATTTTAAATAAGAAGGACAATAAGGTTTAGAGAAACAAAATTAATCTATTGATTGTATATGTATAGAATAATCTGGTAAAAATAGTATGTGTTTCCTAGCTCTGCTTCTCTAATAGATTTTAACTGATTGAGGTAATCATAAAATCACAGAATCACAGACTGGTTTGGGTTGGAAGGCACTTTAGAAATCACTTAATTCCAACACCCTGCCATGGGCAGGGACACCTCCCACTAGACCAGGTTGTTCCAAACCTCAGCAAAACTCCTCTGAAACGCAGTTCTTTGCCCCTGTGAATATTCATTTGCTCTTGACTTCCACTTTGCATCTAATTTTCTCCTTTGTGGACAAAATTACAGCATGATTTGTGTCTGATGCCTGATTCTGACAGATAAACCCTTGTTCATCTGCTAAAATTTCCTTAATATCTCTTTGAATGCAAAATAAAACAAATATTGATATTCAGCATACTGTTAAACCTACAATTCACATTGGTATTTTCAAAATTATAAATGGTTAAAGTAGATTGGAGTTATTGTATCCTATAGCCCAGGATGTTTTGGAAACCTGTCCATAATCATCACGACTGAATAAGAAGGCAGAACTTACGCAGGGCAGTATTGGCAAACGTAAAAGTACTTGTGTGAGCCTGTGGGACAGTAGGAAACTCCACATCCCACCTTGTAACTATTGTACCAGATTAGCTGTGGATTAAAACACAAGAACATTATTTCAGACTGGATTCTTGTAAAAAAACACCAAACCCTCACAAAGTAACAGAACCAGAAAATATTTTTTCCTTAATTTTTTTTTAAATCAGCTTTTAAATTTAAAGTTTAGCTGTCATAATGAATACATAGAAAGGTGAGTTTCCTCCAGTTTCCAGATGTTTTTGAACACAAGACACTAAAGTTGAAATTCAAATACTTTCATCATAGGTATTTTGCTTTGACACTTCTTAATCACATATTTCAATCCCTGTATAGAAAATATTTATTTCTAAATTAAAGTTTTTTCTACAGACTAATATTTCCTTCCTGGAAAGTTCTTCCAAAATTTTGGTTTCATTGCCTCATAATTAGATGGAAAAGAATTTTAGCTTATAATTCATCTTTGGATTAGAGTATGAATTATAGATAATAGTTTGATGACCCCGATAATTTTTTCCTGACTACAAATAACTCTCAGCTGGCTTAAGTGCACTCCTGTGATTCTGGTGTATCTCTGTAGTTTATTTCAAGTGTCCATACCTGAGTGTAGCTCTCAACATTGACATTTTTCAAGATTGCTCCATATCCATACTTGAAATTGGAGGACTGACTGTACCACGCTTGAATTGTGTCAGCCCATGTTCTTGGGTAGAATGACAATAACATATTCTCACCACAGGTGACACCTGGAATAGAAGTAAATGTATTTTATCAGGAGAGAAGCAAACTATAGGGTGGGAAGTGGGACAGAGGGGCTTTAGCTGTATTCTAAAAAAATGCCTATGATGCCACTCACTTTGCCCTGTAATTTTAAAGACTTCCAAAAGGTTGTCTTTCAATGTTCCTCTGACAAAAATGATGCTTTTGTGTTTAATAATTACAGAATTACAGAATTGTTTGGGTTGGAAGGGACCTAAGGATCATCTTGTTCCAACCCCCTGCCATGTACAGGGACACCTTCCATTTAATAATCCTAAAAATCTATTCTACAACAGATTAAAAGTCATCCTTATTTCTATTTCACATTCACAGGGGTCATCTGCAAACTGTCATTAACCCATCAGCTCAGGCTCCATCCTTGTCAGTACCATTTATAACTCTCTTGTCCCTTGGACTGATTTTCATCTCACACTGACTTGCCCATTTCTGAGCATTTTTGGCAGCTTTCTCACTCCACACCTGAAAGACACAAAGGAAGAAGTATCCAGGTCACAGATAGGTTAGTGCAGGCCGTGAGAAGGAAAAAAGACATCGGGAATGGCTTGGTGTTGAGCTCCCATGGCCCTCAACAGAAAGAGGAGGAGTTGTGCTGATTTACTCTCCTGGGGCACAGGAACCACTTTTCTTCAGTCCTTAAAGATTTCAGAACAGGTTATTCTGCACAGTTCTGTCACACAGTCCCGATCTCCAGGTGGTGCAGATTAAAAGGGTTTTTATAACATACTGCTGAGTTCTTTCACCTTTGTGTCCCAGTGAACACTGCAGGGTGCACTGGATTAAACAGTATAAAACTGATTTTCAGCCCAGGTGCATCTGGGCTTTGAACCTGGGGAAAGTTTCAGGCCTTGCTGTGCAGGATTAACCACAAAGCAACAACGAGGCCTGCCAGGGGTGACAGGGATGGGAGAAGTTTTGCAGATCTAGGTCTCTTTTGCCCTCCTGACAGTGATATTCAGAAGCTGCTGCTTGGGCTCCCACTCCCCCTTTGCTTTGCATGCTCTTTCCTTCATCCAGGGTTCGTTTCTCTTTTTAGATTCAGAGAATCAGAGAAGTTTGGGTTGGAATGGACCTTAAAGGGTCATTTAGTCCAACCCCTGTGCAATGAGCAGGGACATCTTCAGATGTTTCTCAGAGCCCCCTTCAGCCTGGTCTTGACACATCCAGGGATGGGGCAGCCACAGCTCCTCTGTGCCAGGGCCTCACCTCACTCATCATAAAAATCTTCTTCCTATATCTAATCTAAATTAATCCTCTCTTGACTACTGAAAACCATTATCCCTCGTGCTGTTGCAAGAGACCCTGGTAAAATGTTTTCCCTCATTCTTATCGTGCCCTTTAGGCTCTGGAAGGAGCTCTGAGCTCTCCCTGGATCCTTCTCTTCCCCAGGTGAGCACCCCCAGCTCTCCCAGCCTGGCTCCAGAGCAGAGGGGCTCCAGCCCTTGGAGCATCCTGCTGGCTCACGTTGAGTTTCTCATCCACCAATACCTCCAAGTCCTTCCCACCAGGCTGCTCTTAATCCCTTCATCCCACAGCTCCCCTTGGTGCTGGGTTTGTCCCATCATTTCCTTCAAGGGAAAAGCTGTAACTCATAGCTCACCATCTTCAGCATGTTCCTGGCTGTGGGAATTACAGATCTCCGAATTTCATTGTGTAGCTCGAGGATCAGTTTTTCACTTTGAGATTTAAAATGAGGAAAGGAGAAAGCGTTCATTTTTTGAATGGGAAAACTCTGGAAAAAAATAACAGTGAAGGTCTCGGTTAACAGAATTATAATAAACAAGATAAATTATGAGCTTCTTGTTGCTTTTGTTTGGCCAGCTGAACCTTCCTCAATAATTGGTCTCATAATCTTGTTTAACTTAAGACATTTATGATGGTAGAAATAACATCTCAGCCAGTAGTTTTAGGATGCAGCCATAATCAGGTAAAGGAAAATATCAACTTACAACATGGTTCACCTCAGATTTATTGAAGAAAATGATAATTTTCTTTCCTAAAGTACTTGTTTATTTTCATTCATTAATAAGAAGTTCTTGATAAACAGCTCTCATGCAAATACCTGCATAGCAGATATCTTACAAACTTAATCCTCTCTAGGAGATTTCTGAATCAGATTTCTGAATCTAAAAATATGTATTTATTTACGAAAAACGTCTTTTTAAAATTAGTCCTGAGAAGGGAAGAATATTTTTATAGGCAGAATCACAGAATGATTTGGGTTGCAAGCTTAAAGAGCCAATAGCTGCAAAAGATTCCTGTCATGTACAACACCTTCCACTAGACCAGACTATATAATAATAATAATAATAATAATAATAATAATAATAATAGTAAACAAAAATCTTATGAAATGAGAGTTCATCTTCAATATGTTACATTAACATATTAACTCTACTTGCACCCCTGAATTCTAAATCTCTAGAGATCACAAGATCAGACTAAATCTGGTCAGATTTCTATACAAAGGAGTCAGATATGGGTGTTTTGCACAGATGAATGTTCCTACCTGTCCATCAGATTGGTGTAGCAAAGCAGCCAGGAGAATAATTGCAGTTAGTAGATCCATTTCTACAGGGGGGAAAAAACCAAAAAACAAACCCCAAAATCCATTAGTCTCTGTTGCATACATTTTATGACATTATGTGATATGTGAGCAAGATATGAAACTGTTGCAAAGTAAAGCCTGCAAAAATAAGTTTATTTTAGCTGATCCTGAATATGGATGTGCTGAAACTGTGCATAGGCACCACTGCATCCTACAGAGAGAAGACTCCACCTTGCATGGAAGCAGGGACTGTAAATAGCATAAAATTGTGTGTTATTTGGAATAGATGGATCAGCCCCGTTTTGACTCCTTTATTCAAGATATCTTGAATTTGCAGCATTTCCTTAATGTTTGCTTCCCTGTGTATAAAAAGAAGCCCATTAATGTGTTCAGTACTGTCACATCAGAGTCCTCAAGCATCATCCATAGTGAGATTTGGTGATTTGGAGTGGAGCACTGAACACATGGACTGTTGTCTCCATTTCTATCTCACTTCCCTGTTCCCTTATTAAATCTGCATCATAATCAGCTCAAGCAAATGGTGGCGAGCACCCTCACGTTTCATCTGACATTAGACATAAAGAAAACCTTC